GTGGTGCGGATTAGTTACCCGTTACTGCCCCGCCTTCCCTGTGTCTCTGCTCCGTGATGTGGGGCTGGGGTTCCCAAGGACTATTCGCCAGACCCTCCTCTTCTCCAGTGTCCCCTCTCTCCTGTGAGTTCCAGCTGTCCCTGGACGTAAATTAGCTCAGATCTCCCGAATGGGAAAGCTCTCCTCTGCCCCACCGGCTGATGGGAGAGACTTGAGGGGTCTGGGAGGAGAAGAGGAGGGATTTGCTTGCCATTTTCCCATCCCATCAGTCCCCTGCTGGAAGAGCCCACGCTGGGCCTTCTGGCTTCCGGCTCCCCGCACCACACGGCAGCTTTCTGGCATCTTCCCTGACCACCCCAGCACCAACTCGCTCCCTCCTCAGAAGCTCAGGCCAGGCTTGTGGGGCCCCTTCCTCTGACCTTCAAAGTTTGAGCCGCCCCTCTGTCTTCCTTTCCGCTACCGCCAGCCCTGGCAGCAGTGGCTGCTTCCTTCAGTTGTGTGTCACCGGGTCACTGGAGGGTTCCTTTTTTGTTGAATTAGCATGTTAACAAGCCATGTGGCTGGTTCCCTGTATTGAATCCCTCTGTTTAAAACTGTCTGCTTTCGGGGCTCCTGGGTGGCTTAGTCGGTTAAGCATCCGACTTCGGCTCAGGTCATGATCTCGCAGTCTGTGGGTTCGAGCCCTGCATCAGGCTCTGTGCCTACAGCCCAGAGCCTGGAACCTGCTTCAGATCTCGTGTCTCCCTCTCTCTCTGCCCCTTCCCTGCTCATGCTCTGCCTCTCTCTGTCTCTCAAAATAAACAAACATTCAAAAGAAAACATTTTAAAACTGCCTGCTCCCCATGTTTTCCTGGCCACTAGAGGACCCAGTTCTTGGGAGTGGTCTTAGGAAACGTGCTCAAAGAGGAGTTTTGGAGAAGAAGAAAAATGTGTGCCACGGGCATTTGTGGCATCTTCAGTGATCTGTGGCCTTTTATGTTTACAACTAAATCTTAGCTCCGCCGTCAGTGCCTGTTCACTGTTACATATCCACAAAAGCGCCCTTCCTGTTCACTAAAGTAGCTTGGAGGTTGAAGTAGGACTTCACCAAGGTGTCTTTATCGCTCTTGCCTTTCATTAAGTTTTCTCTCGTTTTCCAATATGCTTTTAAGGCTTTTCTCTAATAAGTAGGATTTTAGATTGTGTGACTAGGACTTCTAACAGTAGTCTGTACTATAACCATCCACATTTAAAAAAAATTTTTTTAATGTTTATTTTTGAGACGGAGACAGACTGTGAGCAGGAGAGGGGCAGAGAGAGAGGGAGACACAGAATCGAAAGCAGGCTCCAGGCTCCGAGCTGTCAGCACCGAGCCCGATGTGGGACTCAAATTCACGGACCGTGAGACCATGACCTGAGCCAAAGTCAGATGCTTCACTGACTGAGCCACCCAGGTGCCCCAACCGTCCACAGTTTTTTAAGGGCTGGTTATTCAGTGTCAGTTGTGTGAGCAGATCTCTTAACTAGGGGCCAGCCTTGCCCACATGATAATCCATTGTGTGAGAAACTGAAACACGGTATCTCTCTTGATTTTTAAAGGGAACTCTCCTTTTAAAAGACATCTGTAAACAATGCATTATGTTTTTATAGCTCATTGTCCTCAGTGAGTGTTCCTTTGAGTCTCAGAACCCAAGATGAGTAGAGAGACTGGTATAAAATAAATTTTCAATTGTCCATGTAGATGGAGAAAAACAAAGTCCATAAAAGGCCAAAGAAAAATCACCCTCAGCCCCAAGATCTGTAGATTTTGTTGCAGCCACGACATCCTGCTTCTAGTCTGTGGACGAGGTTATGTCGGGTTTTGCCTGCTTCGTGGAGAATTAACAGTGAATGAATTACTTTGAATGCAGCAGGGGAACGACACAGTTATCCTGTGTGGGGAAATCCTCATCACTTCCATTTTTCTGCCTCCTCCGTCATTGTGCTGCTTTCAAATTAGCAGGCGGTTTTGTTTAATGGTTTAAATTTGAGTATTCAAGGGCGCCTGGGTTGGTTAAGTGTCCAACTTCAGCTCAGGCCATGATCTCACAGTTTGTGAGTTTGAGCCCCACGTTGAGCTCTGGGCTGACAGCTCGGAGTCTGGAGCCTGCTTCGGATCATACTCTGCTCATACTCTGTCTCAAAAATAAATGGTTAGAAAAATTAAAAAATAAATTTGAGTATTAAAATTGAGGGGTAGTATTAGTTGATGACTTAACGAAACAAGAGCTTAGCCCAGTTTGTCTCTAACTATAAAAATATCTCAAATTACTTGCTTTTTTTTTTTTTCTAAGAGTGACTTACATTATGGGTGGGGGGTAGAAAGCAAAAGTACTTGTATGGATTATTTATTATCTAAGTGTTATAACTGAACCCACAAATTGCAGTTCAAGGTGGTCAGGACATGAAATGTGACCTGCTGTTTAGTTGCAGTTGCATAGTTGCTGCATGCGAGGCCCTGTGCTTGGGTGGTCTGGGGGATACGACAGAAATAGAACAGTCCTACCCTTGAGTTCAAGTACAAGAGACAGATGGACAGGTAGCTGGGGTTCAAGGCAGAGTTTCCACCATTAAACACAAACAGACTGCTCGGGAAACAGAAGAGAGAGAAACCGAGGTCAGCGCGGAGGTCGGAGGTAGGAGGAGTAGGGAGGTGAGCTGACTGTGCCTGGTGGTCCGGCAGTGTATTCAGAAACCCAGCGGAACCTCTGGAAAAAGACTGCGTAGTAAAGCATGCACCGCTAGTGAGTCCAATAGCTTCCTGAACACGTGGCGGCTCCTTGTAAATGTTTGATCAAGCCTGTTCTCATGATAGAAGGTAATTATTGGTAATTATTGGACATGCAGTTGAACTGTCTGCATGCATATAAAGCAGGTCTCATTCCAATAAATTTACAATTGTTACTGAAAATGTTCTGAAACTATGCCTTCATGTTTTGAGCAAGGGTAAGCTGATGAGGCTGATCCATTTGTAGAGCAGCCAGCTCTGTTCCTATGGCTTAAATCAGCCATTGGACAAACCGAGAGGGCGGACGGCCCCGGTTCATCTGCTACTGGCGAAAACCACTCAACGCCCATGCCCGGTGAGGTGGACAGTTCCTCACGGTGCATACCTGTCAAGGACGCCAGGTGCTCCCAAAGCCGTGAGAGCTGCATCCCCGCCCCTGACGGATTGCAGGGCCTGGGTGTTTAAATCTTAGTGGGCAAGAGTTAGCAAGAGAATCCCTAGATTTTACTAGATTTCTTTCTTTAAAAAAAAAAATCATAGATCTTTCTGATGCTGGTCCAAACACAGTTCAATAAATGCTTGTGACTAAAATAAGGTACATTCATTATATCAGAAATGAATGGGGGCGGGAGGTTAAGCCCAATAAGGATGCTAGTTCGGAAGCTATCTCGGGAAGACTGATCTCCGTGTGTCTCAGCCCTCAGGCCTCCGCTTTACCCTTCGGGTCAGCCAGGTGAGCCTACTGTTACATCAGGGGCCCTCAGCCCATGACGGATCTCTACCCTAAATTGTTGGGATGCCCTTTAACTCAGAAAAACAGCTGTTCATTCCATAATCAAAGCAAAGTTTTAACACATGAAACTCAATGTGGATTTCCATCGAAGTGTATTCTGTCATTGAACAAGTACAAAGAACTGAACATGAGCTCTTGCCTTGAACAAAATGAGGCAGCTGCGGGCAGGAAGGCACCAGGCATCTGGAGGGGCGTCACGAACATAAGGGAAAGGTTTAGAAAGAAAATGAGAGCAGAGAAAACCGGGGCCCGGTTGGCACTGGGCCGTCTGGCTTCAGCCAGGCTGGGACGGAGGTGCCTCTCGGCCACCTCGGGGGCTCCTCACCCTCCGAGGGCCTCCCCCTTCACACAGAACCCCGAGCTCTAGGGGGATGTGTGTCCTGGGTGTGCACAGAATGTGAGTCCCATCCGCCACCCCGTGTCCCCTCTCTCCTGTGAGTTCCAGCTCTCCCTTGTGGCTGGTGTGTTCCCCGGACCCGAATCAGCTCAGGTCTAGGGGAAAGCGCTCCTGTGTCCCCCGCCAGAGCCCTCCCCTCTCTCTGCAGCTCATCTTGTGGGACCCAGCCACATTCGCTCTCTCTGCTCTGACATTTCGGGTTCACCTCACAGGTCATTACCACACGGCCCTCCACAAAATGTCACCAACAACCTGCTTGAGCTAAACGTGGTGGACAGAGGTCAACATGCCAGATGTCTCTACAGCACTGAGCACTGAGAGCCTTTTGGGTGTGGGGCCCTGTGACCTAACACAGCGTCTCGGTGACCCTAACAGTAAGAGTACTCCCCAAGCAACAGTATAGCACAGCGGTCAGAAATGTGTCTCCAAAGCCGAGTTGTGTGGGTTTGAATTTTGGCCAGATTGCCTGCCAGCTGCTTTACCTTTTAGCGGATTACTTAGCATCTGTGTGCCTCAGTTTCCTCATCTGAGAAATTGGGCTTTATTAGGAACCAGCTACTTCAGAGGGTTGCTGTGAGGATTACATGAGTGCATATCTGTAAATTTCCTGTAATAATCCTGGCACAACAATTGGCTATTACTGTTGAAACTTTTTATTTTTTTAAGTTTATTTATTTATTTTGAGAGAGGCAGAGATGGTGTGAATGGGGACAGAGCAGAGAGAAAGGGAGGCAGAATCCCAAGCAGGCTCTGTGCTGTCATCGCAGAGCCCGATGCAGGGCTTGAACTCACAAAATTGCGACATCAACCAAGCATAGGACGCTTAACAGACTGGGCCACACAGGCACCCCTATTGTAGCTTTTTAAAACCTTTTATTTGGGGCCTCCTGGCAGGCTCGGTCGATTGAGTGTCAGACTCTTAGTTTGAGCTCAGGTCGTGATCTCGCAGTTTCGTGAGTTCGAGCCCCGAGTCAGGCTCTGCGCTGGCAGCACAGAGCCTGCTTGGGATTCTCTCTCTCTCTCTCTCTCTCTCTCTGCCCTGCCCCTACTTGCACTGTCCCTGCCTCTCTCCAAATAAATAAACTTTTGAAAAATTCAAATAAAACCTTGTTTTTTAATAATTGTAGACTGATAGAAAATTGCAAAAATAGCACTGAGTCATTATGGACCCTTTCCCTGGTTTCTCCTGATGCTAGCATCTTCTGTATCTAACTATAGCACAATTACCAAACCGGGACATCGACATTAGCACAATACTGTTAGCTAAACTATACATCGTATTCCAATTTCACCAGTTAATTTTTTTTTTATTATTATTATCATGGTATCTTTCCGGAATCTCTTCTTTCTTGGCTTCTGTGGCCTCAGAATAGTTCTGAGCATATTCCTCAGCTAAAGGTGTTCTGCTCCCAGGGAGTGGCAGGCTTGGGGCTTCTAGCCAACACTCATTTCTTCACTTCTTTCATTCTGTCCAGGTGTCGAATGGCCATGTGCTTCCAGGAACAGCCATGGGGGTGAATCATAACTGGTGCACACCCCCTGTAACTCCATCCCTTTGCCAGTGACCGTGGACGGGCATGGGACTACCTGCCAACAAACAGGAGTTCAAATCCACTAAGTTCAAGTCTAGAAAGGCTTTTATTCTTTTTGTAAAAAATTAATTAATTTTCTAATTTACATCCAAGGTAGAATATAAATAAAATCATGCAACAATGATTTTGGGAGGAGATTCCTTAATGCCTCTTTACCCATTTAGCCCATCCCCCTCCCACAGCCCTCCCAGAAACCCTCTGTTTGTTCCCTATATGCAAGAGTCTCTTATGTATCGTCCCCCTCCCTGTTTTTATGTTACTTTTGCTTCCCTTTCCTTATGTTCATCTGTTTTGTATCTTAAAGTCTTCACATGAGAGAAGTCATAAGATATTTGTCTTTTTCTGACTGACTAATTTCGCTTAGCATGATACCCTCTAGTTCCATCCACATAGTTGGCAAATGGCAAGACTTCATTCTTTTTGATTGCTGAGTAATACTCCATTGTATATATGTACCACATGTTCTTTATCCATTCATCCATTGATGGACATTTGGGCTCTTACCATACTTTGGCTGTTGTCGATAGTGCTGCTATAAACATTGGGGTGCCTGTGCCCCTTTGAAACAGCACATGTGTATCCCTTGGATAAATACCTAGTAGTGGAATTGCTGGGTGATAGGGTAGTTCTATTTTTAATTTTTTGAGGAACCTCCATACTGTTTTCCAGAGTGGCGGCACCAGTTTGCATTCCTACCAGCAGTGCAAAGGAAAAGGCTCTTACCTTAAAGAGACTCATACACAGATTCTCTGGTGCCTCCAATTGGTCATCCTCAGGGATGCTTGGAACCATGGCAGCCATCTTGGACCCGTAAGGAAATCGTCCCTAAAGGCCAGTCAAAATATCCAAGAAGGCAGATGAGACAAATGGAAAGAATCCATGTTCTTCAGTTTTAGAGCCACTGAGTTAACTGTGTCACCTTGGTATGTAAGATGATAGCACCTTATACTACTTTCAGTTGAGATTTTACTTTCTAACACCTGAAAGCATCCTCATGAATATCCCAGGGTACCATCCTCAGCCTATTTTTCAGTATATACACTCACCCATGCCTTTGGCTCCAACCCCCACGTGTATGCTGATGGCTTCCAAGTCTCTAGCCCAGACCCCTTGTGAGCTGCGGATGCATGAATCAGGCTACCTACTGACACCTCCGCCTGGTCTGCCACAGATCCCTCAAATTCAACTGACATTCATTTAAAACTAATACTACCTTCTGTTCGTGAGCCAGCACCTCTAACTGTCCTGTAATTTGTATCCTAGTGAAAGAACCACTATCTCCCGAATTTCCCAAATCTGAAACTTGAAAGTGATCCTAAACCTCTCCCTTTTCTATCCTCTGTATCCAATTGATCTTCAAGTCCCATTGCACTGACTCTTCTCTCCAGCCTGCATTATTTGAAGCCTCATAGTTTCTCATTTGCATTCTCTACAACAGGCACTGATTTGTGTATATTCAAACATATTTCCTCAAGTTGACTACGATTATTTATTAAACTCCCTTTCATCATCCAAACACATTTAGAAACCCCGTCTGAGTATTTTCCCCAAGTGGAGAGATTTGTTTTTCACAACTCTACCCAAGATTCAGAGAAAGCTCCTCCGATTGCTTATAGTAAGCATTATTTCATCCATTTGAGCATCAAGGAGATGAGAAACTTGTCCAGAGCTGCAGAACTAACAAGGGGTAGAGCTAAGACCAAGCCCTAGGTCTTTAAACTCTTTGCTGTCTTCCCTCACAGTCTTTGAAAAGATTTAGTAACCCTTTGGGTTAAACACATAGTAACATGTTCCTTATCTATCTGTATTAAATATTCAATGAGCAGATGACTTCCTTCCAAAGAGAAGATGGCCCCAAAAGCTTGTGTTCTTATAGTCATAATAGTTTCCTAAAACTTACTAGTGTGATTACATCACAAGCACAGTATTTAAATATCTTTTAATTTTTTATTTTCAATAACATTTTTAATGTTTATTTATTTTTAAGAGACAGAGACTGAGAATGAGCAGGGGAGGGGCAGAGAGAGAGGGAGACAGAATCCCAAGCAGGCTCGAGGCTGAGCTGTCAGCACAGTGCCCGGTGTGGGGCTCAAACTCGTAAACCTCAAGATCATGACTTGAGCCAAAGTTGGATGCTCAACTGACTGAGCCATCCAGGCACCCCTAAATATCTTTTGAAAGCAAACATAGGGGTGCCTGTGTGACTCAATTGGTTAAACTTCCAATTCTTGATTTTGGCTCAGGTCATGACCTCATGGTTTGTGAGTTTGAGCACCACATCGAGCTCTGTGCTGGTGGCTCAGAGCCTGCTTAGGATTCTGTCTCCCTCTCTCTCTGCCCCTCCCTTGCTTGTACTCTCTCACTCTCTCAAAAATAAATAAATAAACTTTAAAAAAAAAAAAAGCAAAAATAAATAGGGACACCTGGGTGACTCAGTCATTTGAACATCTGACTCCTGATTTCAGCTCAGGTCATAATTTCATGGTTCATGAGACTGAACTCTCACCCCCAAATAAATAAGTAAACATTAAAAAAGGCAAACACAAATAGCAAACAACTAGCAAGATGGTGAATTTATTCTAACCATATTTATAATTGCATTAATTACAGTCTAAACCTACACACTAAAAGATAAAAATTGTTATATATAAAATAAGATCTAACTATATTCTGTCTGTAGCAAATCCACTTTAAATAATTTAGAAGTCAAAATATGGTTAAAAAAATTATGTCATGAGAACACTGATCAAAAGTAATCTGGATTGGTTATATTAATCTCAGAAGTAGATTTCAGAACAAGAAATATCACCAGGAAAAAAAAAAGGACCATTATGTAATGATAAAGGAATCAATTCACCAGAAGTCAACAACCTTCAATGTGTATGCACCCAACAACAGAGCTTCAAAACAGATGACCCAAAAACTGATGAAACCAAAAGGAGAGACAAACAAACAAATAAATCCACAACTGCAGTCGGAGATGTCAATGCTCCTTTCTCTGTAATCAACAGACCAAGAAGACAGAAAATCAGGGAGGCTACCAAAAACCTGAACAACAACTTGACCTACTTGAACTCTATCCAAGAACAGATTATATATTCTTTTCAAATACACATCATTCAAATAAAACTCTAGCAAATTTAAAAGACAGGAAATCAAGGGTGTCTGGCTGGCTGTCAGAAGACCATGCAATGCTTAATCTCTCCAGGTCATGAATTCAAGCCCCACAATGGGTGCAGAGATTACTTAAATAAACAAATAAATAAACTTAAAAAACTTTTTAAAGGAAATCATACTGGGGTGCCTGGGTGGCTTAGTTGGTTGGGCTTCTAGCTTCAGCTCAGCATGATCTCACAGTCTTTCTGTGGGTTCAAGCCCCGCGCCCGGCTCTGTGCTGACAGCTCAGAGCCTGGAGCCTGCTTCAGATTCTGTGCTTCCCTCTCTCTCTGCCCCTTCCCTGCTCCCACTCTGTCTCTCTCTCTCTCTCCCCTTCAAAAAAAAGATAAACATAAGAAAAAGAAGAAATACAGGGAGAGGATACAAGTTATCCATATCCATACTGAAAGATATCATTACAGACACTAAAGTCAATAAAAGAATAATAATGAAACACCATCAACTATTCTGTTTATAAATGTAACAACTTAAATAAAATGAACAAATTTCTTGAAAACACAGCTGCCAAAGGTAATTCAAAAGAAATAGGGAATTTTCTCAACCTGCTAAAAGGTCACCTATAAAAAGCCAACAGAGAACGTCATACTTAATGGTGAAGCATTGATTGCTTGTCCTCTAAAATTAGGGACAAGGCAAGGATGTTTGTTCTTTAATGAGTATCATATTAGAGCCCCTAGGCTGCAATAAAGCAAGTAAAAACTAACAAAAGGAAATAAAATTGTCTCTAGTCGCAGATGGCATGGTTGTCTACATAAAAATTCAGAGAGAATTTACAACCAAGTTTTTAGAACTAACAATAGGGTTTATCGAGGTCACAAGATACAAGGTCAATATATAAAAACCACTTGTATTTTTAGATGCTATCCATAAACATTTGAGATTGAATTTTATATACCACTTAAGTAACACCCCTCTCCCCAAAAGTTGAGAAATTTTCAGGTATAATTCTAACAAAATATGTACAAGATCTAACAAAATATATACAAAATCTTGATAAAGAAAAATTTCTAAATAAATGGAGAGATTACTGTTCTTATGGACTAGAAGTCTCAATACTGTTAAGATATCCATTCTCCCCAGACTTATCTATAGATTGGACACCAATCTAATTAAAATCCTTGCGGGAGTTTTTATAGAAATCAACAAGCTAATTCTAAACTTCCTATGTAAAAGCAAATGAACTGGACTAGTCAAAGTGATTTTGGAGAACAAAGTTAGAAGACCCACACACTGGTTTCAAGACTTAACGATACATCTCCAGTAATCAAGACATGGCGGAGAAGAAAGGATAGACATATAGATGAATGGAACAGAATTAAGTCAAGAAATAGACCCGCCCATAGATGGTGAACTGATTGTCAACAAATGTAGAAGAGGCAGTTCAATGAAGAAAGGCTAGGGCGTTTTCAATGAATGGTGCTAGAGCACTGAGCTATCCACATGCAAACAATAAACCTCAATCTATTCCTCTCACCCTATACAAAAACTAACTCAAAATAGATCACACGCCTATATGTGACACCTGAAACTGCAAATATTCTAGAAGAAAACAGAAGAGGAAATGTTGCTTCCTTCCCCATCTCCCCCATGACTGATCCGAAAATACCTTACCACGGCCTATTCAGAAAAACCAACAGAAGTATGTAGTGAATACCAAGAATGAGGCGGATGGCCATCCATTCAGTCTAGCATTTTCATTAGGCTTTTTTCATTTCATTAGGCATTTTTGCACCAAAAATGAAGGCAGCCCTACCATCTGCTTGGTGCTTTTAAAACATACGGATTGCTCTTAATCAGCTCCACAAATTACCCACACTCCAAGCTGCTGAAATTGAACACAAACCTCAAATATCTGCTGCTCAACTTTATCAAAAATCTGTGACGCATAGTTGTACAGTCACTCTCTCTATTCCTTTCTTTCGGATTACTCCCCAGGTCTATACAGCTCATAGGAGAGCTGAGTAGTCTTCCCTGTGCTTTGAGTCATGCCTTCAACTAACATTGAAACAATGTTAGGGAATCTCTTGTGGAATCCGTCATAACCTCTAGTGAAGGGATGTTGAATACATTGTGAGCCTGAATTTCTCTTTTTTTGTTTTTACTGTACGATAGTGTGCAATTAATTAAGCCACCTCAACCGAGTTGGGAAACCACTTGGACTATGAAACAATGAAATATCTCAGGGGTCCTGGATAATCTCTGAAGTGCTTCTGCAATAACGCAAACTGTCCATTAGGCGGAGCCAGAACACTAATGATAAAACAAACGAAACAAAACAAACCGCCCTGCAGGTTAACATTTCCAAACAGTACCATTATTTCTAAATTAGAGTCTTTGTTATTTTCATGCTTTCTACCATATTTCAAAGGCATCATTTGAATGTATGGAATAATTTAGAAAGGGAAAGTAAATCTTTAGAATTATGCTCTACATTTTAGCAGTAATTTGAACAGACTTAATGAATTGGATTTGAATTCGGGGGAATTTTCCTAAATCCAAAGCTAAACATTTTTATGCATAAAGAAGCATTAGAGATAGAGTATAATGATAGTTTTAAAGATAATCCTTTCGGTAAACTTTCTTGTTTCCTTTGGATCTAGGTGTCATTTAAGGAAGACAAAAAAAGGTTTTTTTTCTCTAAACTGACTTGGCATTTACTTTGTAAATTGTGGCCCTAGACCACACTCAGATTGTGACCCCTGGCTGTGGGCATGTATTCCAGGAGGAAAAGGGAGGGGGCACAGCCAGGGGGTGATGGGTAAGGAATTCAAGAAGCATGAAAGGGATAGCCAAGGGACCGGTTTCCACAAGGTGGCATAGCCCCTGCAGACAAGGAAAGGATTTTAAAGACAACACAACGTCAGGTACAGCAGGAGTCACGAAGAGGCTGGAAGTATATAAACTTTTCTGAGAAGGAGGAAAAAAGAGGGAAATTTTGAGTATGTAACCTTGGCAAGAATACCTTGGAGAGAGATGATCTTACTAACTGATCTAACTAACTCATGCCACGGGGAAACAAACCATGATTTCTCTTGCTCTGTGATGGCGTTAGGTAATAATTACGTTTGGGATGTAAGGATACTAAGCCTCCTCTGGTTTCTCCTTGGCATTTGGAGTCAGTCAGAGAGAATGCTTGGTGAGGCCATTAAACAGGAGAAAGAGAAACAGGAGGTAAGGAGAGAAAGGTAGTTCTCTCCTGGCCTCTTAGAAGTTGGGGGATCAGGGGCGCCTGGGTGGCTCAGTGGGTTAAGCGTCCGACTTCAGCTCAGGTCATGATCTCACGGTTCGTGGGTTCGAGCCCCGCGTCGGACAGCACAGGGCCTGGAGCCTGCTGCAGATTCTGTGTCTCCCTCTCTCTCTGGCCTTCCCCTGCTCTCCCGCTCTCTCTCAGAAATAAATAAAACATTAAAAAAAAAAAAAAAGTTGGAGGATCATCCAGGCGCCTGGGTGGCTCAGTTGGTTAAACAGCTGACTCTGATCATCTGACTCTGATTTCGGTTCAGGTCATGATCTCATGGTTTGTGAGTTTGAGCCCCGTGTCAGGCTCTGCACTGACAGCTCAGAGTCTGCTTGGGATTCTCATTCTCCCTCCTTCTCCCTCTCTCTCTCTCTCTCTCTCTCAAAAATAAATAATCAAAGTTTATATCTATATAAACTTATATATATATATGCCCAACTTTGATATATAATCTTTGATATATAATATTTGATATATAATCAAAGTTTATATATATACATATATATAACATACATATATATATAACATACATATATATATATATATGCCCAACCTGGCACTAAATAGAGTCTTAGCATTGCTCCACTGTTTTAGAAACAGTAACACTTAGGTTCATTCAGAATGAATTTTTTTAATTTTTTAAGTTTATTTATTTATTTTGAGAGAGAGCACAAGTGGGGAAGGGATGTGGCAGGGGGAGGGGGGAAGGAGAATCCCAAATAGGCTCCACACCACCAGCACACCAGCCCCACAATGTGGGGCTCAAACTTACAAACCTCGAGATCGTGACCTGAGCCGAAGTCGGATGCTTAACATACAGAGACACCCAGGCGCCCCAGATGAATTTATAAAGCAAATACTGGCCATTGTCGCTCAAGAGTTAGGACTTACCCAGGTTAGCCTGTTGAGATAGTCAGGAAGACCATCTCAGTGGTGACCCTGACTCAGGTTTTAATCCCTTGTCTGCAACTCTTAGCAGCCTGTTTTTCTAGTCCTCTTACTTCAACACTGAGAGCCAATTACTCCCCCCTCGCTGGACCCCTCCCTCCCCCAATAGCTTATGTCTCACCAGTGGGTAAGAGTGGTCACCGGGAGATCAGATTTGACAAAACCCATGAGCACCTGCTGGTTTGTCCCAACCTAACAAGAAAGCGTGCCTGCTCAAAACCATCCTGACACTTTTTGCCTGGTATATTTTTGTGCCTGGTGGAATTTGTGATGACTGCTTGAAACCGCCACTTAAATTAAATCCATTTTCACATTACAAGAGACGTCTGATTTCCTACGAAGAAATACTTTAAAATTCAAGGCAGCGCAAAATCTCTAGCCATCTGCCAGCACTGATAGAAAACCCTTGGTGTGCTCCCGGCTGAGGGCGGCGGCAGCCATTCATCTCTCACACAGGCCGGCTTTGTCATTGCCAAGGTCACTCCCAGCCCCTCCCTGTCACTCACTGCCCCAGGCTGCAGGCTGAGGGAGCTGCCTCAGACTCAAGTACTTTCTCCCTTGGTTCAAAAGATGCAGGTTGTTGCTTTTTCTCTTGGCCTATGCTCCTTGGGTAGGATTTTAATCTCCACCTTGATACTGTTTTCTCACCATTCCACGCCTTCGCTTTCAAAGCCCACCCGCTGTCCCCTTTCAGGTGTTCTGGTGCTTTTCTCTGCCATTTGTATGATTTCCTTCATCCCTGTTTTATGATTTTTTTTTTCCCGTTCATTAGGGGAAAAAACGCTGTAAGTCCCGCACGTACTTGAAGCTCTTTCTGGAACGGCGGAGCCCAATCCGCCACGCCCACCCTGCCCGGGGCGAGCTTAGCAGCTGCCTGGCCGACCTTCTTTCAGAACCCCACCCTGCCCGTCTCGGGGAGGCTGTCAGGTTGCCATGGCAACCAGCAACCTGCCGCGTCAGCGAGTTCCGGGCGTGCTCTGCCGAGGCCTCGGGCGCAGGCCCCGCCAGCAACACCCCCCACCCCCCACCCCTCCCTCAGCGCTTCGGAGAAACAACCCCTTTCGGCCCCTTACAAGCCCGGGCAGGATCCTGCCGGCTGTCTGTGCTCACTTGTCCTGGCGGTTACTTGTGAGGGTGAAACTCATGCCCAGGTGAGGGTCCACCGAACGTTCTAGGCATTTTCCCCACAGGGAAACCGGTCTTTGCTCTGATCGCAGATTTATTCAGAAGTCCGGAACGAAAGCTGAAATGATGGTCTGCACTTGGCCTTGGTGTCTTCTTGCAGACTTTGGCGGGCGGGGGTGGGGGCAGGGAGAGGGGGACTCTGAGAAGCTGGAGGGGTAAGATCTGGTCAGATTTTGGCTCAGTTGCAGAGGCCGTTTTTACCGCCTGTCCCGCATTTTGCTGCTCTGACACAGTATAAATCTTCCTAGGGAAGGGCTCCTATCAGCCCTGTGGAATTTCTCTCTCCAATGCTTCTTTGTAAACTAGCTGGAACACAGCGTGGACCGATCCACAATCATTTATAACCCACTTTGTAACAAAAGATGTCAATGTCACCAGGACCCACAGCGCCCAGGGAGGGGGAGCCACACTGTGCTGGTCGTGTGTGGCCTCCGCCGCCAGTCCGACCTTAAGAGAAAAATCCCTATTGATCCGACGGCTGTCTGGGCGCTTACAGATCATGAAGCAAAAAAAGGGGGCTTATTCTTCGTCTCATGTGACTTAGCTACTAATGATGCTGATATTAATAACCACGCTCCATTGGAGATGCCGTTTCCTCACAGGCTGAACAGAAAAGTAGCGGCTGGAGACAGCATGGCCGGTGACGTAGCTTGCCTGTCTGAGGGCCAAAAAGCCAGCTCAGCTCATAACGTCTACTGGCTGTAACTAAGAAAAGGCCTTGCCTGAACTCGAACATTTTGATTTTAGCTTTAGGTTTGCCACCTGGCTAACCATGAATTTGGAAAAGTCAGTGGACTTCCTGCAAGCTCTCTCCTCCCATCTGGAAGATTGTGAGGAGGATAAAGCGTCTATGTAGAGGCCCTGACACAAATCCTGGCTGGTAGCGTTCACATTTCCCCCATATGGTGCCACAGGGAAGGGCCTGTGTCCTGAGAGCCAGCCGAGCCTGCAGAACAGGCTGGATCCGGTCTCGCGATCCAGCTGCCCTCACGAGTCCTCCGTGGCTCCCCTTCACCTTCCTCTGCATCTGCCCCACCCTTTGCCGGCCTAGAGGCCCCTCCTCACGGGAGCCCGGGGTAGGCCCTTGGCTGCCAAGGATTTACTATTGGCCATTTGGAGGCTCTTCAAAGATGACTCTAAAGCATCAAAAGAGGAGGAGTAGTGATCTTGCTGGAGCTGGAACAAGAGCCCCAAGCTCGGCTGTGAGGACCCCCCGAGCGCCCCTCCCTCCCCCTGTGCTGCCCAGCGGGGGGGCAGCGTCTGGAAAGAGGAGCCTTGACAGGGATCTGTGGCCCACCCAGGAGGGGCTCTCTGACCTTGGTTCTCGCCTGTCTCAGATTCTGCACGGCTTCCTGGACACCGGTGCTTACCATATGAACCGCGCGCTCGAAGAGAAATCTGCATGTGAAAATCCTGAAAATCCGAATGAAATAACGTTGGTTGGTTAATCAGGGTCATTACAAAATGATGGGAGTGTCTCTGCTTTGCAAAATGCCTCACTATCAGATTGCTTTAAATAGTAAGCTCCCTCTCTGTGTTTGAAGACATGTGATCCCGAACTGAACGGATTTTCAGGAATGCATCCACACTTCCAGCAAGGCATATGCGATCGGACCACATTTACGTTTTCATTCATTCGTTTATTTGTTCCCTTAGCCCACTTCAGCTGTCAGCCACGCGAGAGGGGAGGAAACGCCGTGGGGAGCCCCAGCCGGGCTGGCGGGCAGGCAAGAACGGGAATCGGGGATCGTGAATCTTGAGGTGACTTTCTTGACTCCACAGGCTGGTGAAAGCTGCTTGACATGGGTTGTAATGACTTCTTGTCCCTGTGTCCCCAGCTAAACTGTGAGGTACTTTAGGGCAGGGGACATCTACCCTTTGTAAAATGCAGTGTCTGATGCAGAGCAAACAAACATTCAGTGAATGTATGCTGACAATAAATACATCTGGTAAGAAAAATACCGTCTGGCAGAGAACGAGAGAGAGAGGAGGGAGAAAGGGAAAGAAGGAAGGAAGGAAGGAAGGAAGGCAAGCCATTTAATTTTATTTAGCTGTGTATTTCTGTGTAGGTGCGTGGATGGATACATATACACATTTAAGCCAGAATCTTCCAGGGCTATCGAAAAATTGCTATTTCTTTATCATTCTGAGACAGAGAAAGAGAAGTCTGGCTGCTCATACCAGCCTCACTGTCCTATTGTAACTTGACCGTTTAACATTAATCACTGCACAGAAAGCAAATGTAACCCCCTTGTGAAAACACAAATTGCAGTCATGCTTTTTTTTTTTTACCTATTAATACGAAGTGAATAATAAATTGAATGACCAACCCTGCAATGGATGGTATTGATTAGAAGGATTAGAGAGGTGGAAAGAGTTAAAATAGGGTCCACAATTCCCAGTGATCGCTGGAGGTCAGCCTTTATTAGTGAAAAGGGTTAGTTCATTGCTCACGTTCATTTTTACTCATTTTTACTTCCTCCCCCTCCTTATGAACTTACCCTGGAAAACAGCGGCTCCCGTCACCTAGGAAACTGGCGCACGGGCTGTTGGAGACTGAGGACCACAGGCTTTCTCTTTACACATTTGCATTTGCAGCTGGGCTCCGGGTGACCTCGCCCCCGGGGAACGGAGAGTTAATCCAATGGGGGTGAAGGAGGAGATGCTGAGCCCTGTATCGCCCACCTGACATTGTGACGACCCACAGATCTTCCTCTGCTGCCTCTGCCAGAGCCTGGTTAAGCTGTCTAAACACACCCATTTCTTTAAGAAGAAGGCAGCGTGGTTTTGTTTTGAAAATGATTTAGAAGTAATAATAATGCGTTGCTGAACTGTGACCATGCAAGGCCCGGTGGTTTCTAACTTTGACCACCGTTCTTTGCACCAAAGAGCCTGCAGGTTAGCATTGCGCGGGAGGGATGGAGAGGAAGACAAAGGCCTTGGCTCCCCAATTTATTCATGGTAATTTGAAAGGGGGCGGGGGAGAGTGTGTCGGACAAAAGGAGTCCCGCTGCACTTGACAGCAGGCTAAGTCTTTATTCTGTGGCTTTGTCGGCAGCGGCTCCTTTCTCTGGCCTGTGGTGTGCCAGTTGGCTCAGAGACTTCTGTTGAGAGAGCCTGTGCGCCAGCTGTATGCAAAGTGTGGGGTCCCAGGGTGGGCGCAGCGGGGCAGGAAAGCTGCACACATTCTCTCTCTACCACTGGCTGCCCCCGCCTTCCTCCCGATCCGCTCTGTGTTGATAACAACAGCTAACTAACACCTTTAGCTACTAGGTGCTATGCTAAGCCCATCGTAGGTATGAAGTGACTTCACTCTTACAACAGCCTATGAGATGGGCACTTTTTTTGTATTCTGGTTTCAGACATGGGGACCTATAGACACACAGGTCTCATGGTCTGTTCAGCCCCAGAGCCAGCAGTGGCCGGGCAAGAGCCGGGCCTGGCTCCAAGACCCTCAGCACCCTGCCACCAGACTCCATGCACTTGCAGCCGGGGTAAGAGGTTCTGCCCAGAACACTGGGGGCCTGTGAGGCACAAACCGCACGTGCTGGATTCCAGGCTTCGGCGTGCCATCTGGCCCTTACTCAACACCAGTTCCTGCTCTGTCCCCTGGAGGAAAGACTGCTGCCCCCTTCCACCCCTGGATGTCCCCTTGTGAGCACAGCCTGGTTTCAAGGCCAAGGGCAGCACGAATGCATAGTGCTTCCTGCGAAACAGTTGGAATCCAAGGGAGAAGAGGCTTCATACTGGTCCAAAGGGAAGCTACCATGCATGTCTCATACCCAGGAAAACAACTAAGGAGTTAATGATTACAAATGGCATTTTATGAGCACATGGCAGTGCCCAGCTGAGCTCTGAAGTGGGTGGTGGGTGATGCTCTGCGGAGGCAGCTGGGGGTCCGTGCCTCATGGGGTGACATTCTGAAAGCAGTGAGCAAATCAAAAAGGTGTCAGAAGGCATGAAGAAAAGCCAGGGTGGTCGGTCATAGAAAGAGTGAGGGCAAAGTGAAGGGGGTGCCTCGGGTAGAGTGCTCAGAGAACATCTCTGGGGACAGATTCTGGGATGCGCTTTGTAGCAGGACTGAACCAGACGCCCTGGGCAAGCAGAGGACAGAGGCTAGGGGCCACGCTAGGCCCCGCAAGCCTAGGAGGGGACGTGCCTTCATTCTAACTGCACTTGTTCACCGGAAGGCGGCTGGGGTAGTGAAGGATCCACTGTGCAGTCTGTCGTACAGGTGAGGTGAGACTATGCATATACATTTGCTGACACAAAGCAGTAGATGAAAACACAGTGCTTCCTGTGGGTCTGGACCTTATCTGCGTCACCCCACTGTGCCCCCTCATGTGCGTGGCTCCGAGATGGGACCTGCCGCAGCCCCATCCAGCAGCCAGTGGTCACCTCTACCCCACACTGGCTGCTTCAGTGGGTGTCACTATGAGGGCAGTTTGATCACCCACGATTCATCATGGGCCAGGCATTGCTGAGGGGAACAAATCAAGCATGAGTGATTTGGAGAGTACAATATTTGAATCTGTACTGAACTTATAAAGTCATTCTCAGGGTGCCTGGGAGGCTCAGTGGGTTGGGCGTCTGACTTTGGCTCAGGTCGTGATCTCATGGTTTGTGGGTTCAAGCCTCACTTTGGGCTCTGTGCTGATAGCTTGGTGCCTAGAGCCTGCTTTGGATTCTGTGTCTCCCTCTCTCTCTGCCCCTCCACTCTCATGCTCTATATCTCTCTCCTTCAGATATAAATAAACATTAAAAACATTAAAAAATCATTCCCATCTCTGTGATTGACCTTATGCAGCTCTCCCTTTTATACAAAGGATATGTGTGTGTGTTCCTTAATATTTGAATGTGCTTATAATATTATAGCACAATAAATGAGTGGGAAAGAAAGGGGAAAAAGAAAAGATAATGACTTGGAGAGAAAAAGGGAACTAAAGATGGAAAAGTAGAAAATATATAGCAAATAAAGAGATCAGGGTTTTATTTTGTTTTTACTATGAAGAGCAATAATTTGTTTTTTATTACCAGTCTCAAAGATAATGAGCCCAAATTCTTGCACTGAAACCTAAGTCCAGTGGTCAAACATCTACAGCACTTTTCATTTAGTAATGAATACTCAAGTCCTTGATTTGGATGGGATATCCGGAATGTTCCAGACCCCCTACCTGACCCCAGGCACAAAAATTAACTCAAAATGGACCACAGACCTAAATCTAAGAACTAAACCACAAAACTCTTAAAATAGGATTTAGGAGTAAATTTTCATGACCTTAGTAATGACTTTGGATGTGACACCAAAAGCATAAGCAAAATGATTTTTAAAAATAGGTAATTTTTAGACTTCATCAAAATTAAAAAATTTGTGCTACCAACAATGCCATCAAGGAAGTGAAAAAACATCCATAAAATGAATTCTATCTGTATCAAAATATTTGCAAATCATATCTGATAAAATATTTATATCCAGAATATGTAAAGAATCCTTAGAATTCAACAATTAAAAGACAAATAGCCCAATTTACAATGGGCGGAGGATTTGAATAGACATTTATCTGAAGAAAACATACAGATGACCAATAAACAAATGAGAAAATGCTCCACATCATTAGTCATTAAGGAAATGCAAATTAAAACCTCAATGCAAAGCCACGTTACACCAACACACCAATATGGATGGCTATTATCAGGAAGACACACAATACCGTGTTAACAAGGATGTGGAGAAATTGGAGTCCATAAAATGATGGCAGCAATGTTAAATGGTGCTGTGGCTTGGAAAAAAGTTCGGCAGCTCCTCAAAGAGTTAAACACAGAGTTACCCTTTGACCCAGCAATTCTACTCTCTTGGATATATATACCCAAGAGAAATGAAAACATGTGCACATAAAAACTTGTACATGGATGTTCACAGTAGCATTGTTCATAATAGTCCCCAACCAGAAACAACCCAAATGTCCATCAACAGATGAACGGATAAACAAAAATATTATCTACTCTTACAAAGGAATATTATTCGGCCATAAAAAAAAAAAAACCATGTAGCAACATGGCCAAACCTTGAAAACATTCCACCAAGTGAAAGAAGAAGGAAGCCAGCCACAAAAGACCTATATGCGCGTGCTTCCTTTCATATGAAATGTCCACAGTAAGCAAATCTGTAGAGACAGAAAGCAGATTAGTGGCTCCCAGAGGCTGGGAGTGAGGGTGGAGAATGGAGAATGAGTGCCGAGAGTCTGAGGCTCCCTGGGGGGGCGATGGCAGTGTCCTAAATGTAAGGTTGTGGCATCGGTTGCACAACTCTGTAATATACTTAAAGACACTGAATTATTCACTTTAGATGGGTAAATTCTTCCTATGTGGGTTATAGTTCCATAAAGCTCATTTGTTTTTGTTTTTGTTTTTGAA